GTGTGCCTTCAGGTCAGGTCATGATCCCAGCATCCTGGGATCGAGCCCCGTATCAGGCTCCCTGCTCCGCGGGAAGCCTGCTTCTCCCCTCTTCCACTCCCCCTGCTTGTGTTCCCTCTCTCGCTGTGTCTCTCTCGGTCAAATAAATAAATAAAATCTTTTAAAAAGAAAAAAAAGGGTTGCTTTTTTTTTTCTTAAAAAAACTTTTTTTTTTTTAAATCTATTTTGAAAGAGAGAGCGCACATGCATGAGCAGGGCAGAGGGAGAGGGAGAGAGAGAATCCTCAAACAGACTTGCTGCTGAGCGCAGAGCCCGAAGCAGGGCTGGATCCCAGGGCCCGGAGATCATGACCTGAGCCAAAATCAAGAGTCAGACACTTAACTGACTCAGCCACCCAGGTGCCCTGGCTAGCAAAGGTTTTTAAGGAAGAACCTTCCAGTAATCTCCTAAACACTTCCTGCTACTTCAGATAGTGGGACTCTGCAGGGATGCCAGCAAGGAACAGAGAAGGAACAGGGAAGACACTCTTTGATCCAGTATTAATAATGGAGTCCAAGTTTTCATATTACTTCGGATCAGCAAAATCTATAGCTAGGCAAGTTAAGGCAAACTGAACACTCATAAGTAACCTGTGTATGCTTAAACTCGCTTATGATTTGTATTTCCTTTTGAGGACAGTCCTAAAGATGAGCAAGATTTTTAAATGATTAAGATATTTACATTAGCTTGGCTCTTCAGTGACATATATATATAATCTCCAAAGGCGGAAGTTAGAGTTAAGAGTGCTTTTCACGTGAATATACTAAAGCGAGGTTATCAACCATGGAGTGTTCAATATTCACACACAAAAAATATCTGGATGCATAGAATTCTTGTGCTCAGCAGATGAAGAGCAAAAGACTGCTATTATTGGTGGCTTCTTATGTACAGCCTTGTCAAAATTATGTGAAAATCTTTCTCAAGAACCAATCTAGAGAATCATCTTATGTAAAGTAGGGTGTGTGCCTAGGTCACTCACACAGGTTAGGGCACAGCTATTTTGGTGCAGCCAGCCTAATATGCGGGGTTCCATGTAACTGGTACGCTCCCACCAGAAAGAGATGACTTCAAGCAGATTTCTAGCAGCAAGGTTGGCATTAAAGATACATGTGACAACAAACTTCAAGGAGAGGAAAAATCCACTCGTAATAAAAAGGCCATCAAGACTTAACTGTAAGAACTTCTCCAACTCAGAGAATATTTTCTTTCTACTAAGAAAACCACTTATACTCATGTTTAATGTCCTAATTTAAGAAATGAAACCCTATGATCCAGCAATTGCCCTACTAGGTATTTACCCAAAGGATACAAAAATACAGAATCGAAGGGGTATAGTCACCCCAATGTTTATAGCAGCATTATCAACAATAGCCAAACTATGGAGAGAGCCCAAATGTCCATTGACTGATGAATGGATAAAGAAGATATATAGATATATATATCTATATTTATATAGATAGATATAAATATATATAAATACACACACACACATACATACACACAATGGAATTATTACTCACCCATCAAAAAGAAAGAAATCTTGCCATTTGCAATGATGTGGATGGAGCTAGAGTGTATTACACTAAGTGAAATAAGTCAGAAAGACAAATACTGTATGATCTCACTCGTATGTGGAATTTAAGAAAGAAAACAGATGAACATATGGCAAGGGAGTGGGGGGAAAGGAGAGGGAAACAAACCGTAAGTGACTCTTAATGGTAGAGAACAAACAGGGTTAATGGAGGGAGGGAGGTGGGGGATGGGCTAGATGGGTGATGGGGATTAAGGAGGGCATTTGTTGTGATGAGTACTGGGTGTTGTATGTTAGTGATGAATCACTGGATTCTACTCCTGAAACCAGTATTGCACTGTATGTTAACTAAAATTTAAAACAAAGAAATGGAAGACACTAAATTAATCTTTAACTTATATTCCACTTCTAGGTCTGTTTTCATTGTCCCTCTAATGCAAACTGTGTACCAAACACTACAAATCCTATATCTCATATATTGTCCACCAGACAATCTCACCAACCAAAAAGGTGATGATGGGATCTCATTTTGAAGCCAAAAGAGATAAACACATGAGTCATTTTCAGATAAGCATTAAAAATAATCCTTTAGGTTTCTCTGAAAATAGCAACATTATCTTAAGATAGAGCACAATCACGGAGGAGATAAAAAACCCAAAACAAATGAAATCTTATACAAAACAAGAATTGAGTTTTTGTCCAGGATTACAGTGGTCTATAAATTAAAAAGACTTCTGTCAAATGTCAATTCCTAATTATATCTGTCTCCTGACCCATGACGTAGATTTAAACAGACCCATGGTTAATCTAAACAGATGCAGTGACCATACAACACCCAGTCTATTCATTTGCCTACAAAGTGGCAGAAATTCAACCTTGAATTAATAGAACTTAATTCTGCCTAAATCCCTAATATAACTAATAAAATGTCACTTTCGATAAGATAAATGCCCAGATTTTTTTTAAAACAATCCAGCAATAGATCCTCTATCAAGGACAAATATCTTGCCCCTTAACAGTGTATTTATGAGAACCAAAATAAAACGGTGCTTCAACCAGATTCTCATTTCCTAAATACCCCTTCAGCTCATAAGAAAAGCATCATTCTAGATGAAAACTCCTCATTAGTCAACCTTGGTCTTATCTTAACCAGACATTCCTGCTTCGAATGAGGTCGTGAAGATACCACCCGGGTACTTGCCACGGCATCTAGTACCCACACCTACCACTCTCTACAGGCTCACAATGCCTTTAAAAACCTTCCGTGCAACATTGAAAACCTTGTTATTTGTGTATTTGGAAGCAAGTCTGCTTATCATTCAGAAAAGTCCTTGTAACACTTCTTGTCTCTCTCCACCATCTCTCACTTTTTGAAAGACTTCAAGTAAGAGCAAGGCCTTGGCAACAAATTAATGTATCGCGTGATTCCATTTACATCTGCGCAGTGGAGTTTACCTGGTATCTTACATATGGATCTAAAGTGTAGCCTGAGAAGCAGAACTCACCCACCCCCTTCATTATAAAAATAAAAACAGAATCTTGTATGGAACTGTCAAATCACTATGTTGTACACCTGAAACTAATATAACATCGTATGTTGACTCTACTTCAATAGTAATAAAAAAAAGTAAACACCCAGAATCTGCTAAAATCAGCATCTAATACTGACAAATGATATACATGTATCTTAATAATAATTTCACCTTGCGGGCGCCTGGGTGGCTCAGTTGGTT